TTAAATTTAGGCTACAATTATTTAATTTACAAATGAAAATACAAATTAATTATGTGGAAGATATGAATTAAATTATTTTGGGTACGTATTAAATATATAACTTAGCATAGGATAAAATGAAATCAAATCTAAATTGGTAAAAGAATTAATTTTACCCACCTTATTTTAGACATGGATGACAACCATGCGCGGGATATATATGTACACCTTTATAATTAAAGAATTGACTGTAAGTTTTCATTTCCTCCTTACCTCCAAATATTTTAAAACCTCCCGCGCCATTGCCAAACGCCCTCCATTTTTCTTACTCCCGCCTTCTTTCTCTTCTTCTTCTTCTTCTTCTTCTTCTTCTTCTATCTCCCTCTCAAAATCTCTCCTTCATAATCCAATTCTCTCTCGCGCTAGCTCATTTGATTTTTCTCTTCGTCTCTTTTACCCCTCTTGATTTTTATCTGGTCTTCTACTCCTTCAACCCTCTCTCTCGTTTTGGTCTCAAGAGAAAATGGGGAAGCAGACCAAACCTAAAAGATCGCCCAATATCGGGAAAGGGAAGGTGACTCCAGTGCAGATTGCATTCATAGTGGATCGGTATCTTTCGGATAACAAGTTTTCCGAAACACGATCTGCCTTCCGATCTGAAGCGTCTTCCTTCATCTCCAAATCTTCAGTTCGCGAGGTACCCATCACCGATCATTTTGTTTTTCTTTTATTTATTTATTTATGTTCTTCGGGTTTTTCTTTTTTCGTTTACGAAACCTTGTGCTAATATTCCACGGGCAGGCACCGAAGGGTTTACTGAGTTTGGAGGCAATCCTGAACGAGTATATAGGCTTGAAGGAGCTTAAGGTGATTCTCGAGCAGGAAAGGGCTTGTTTAGATCAAGAGAAATTCAGGGTCCAGAGCCTTTTGCAAGGCATGCAAGATGCGATGAACTCCTACAATGCAAGTGCAAATGTACCTGCTCCTGTGATTCATGCACCTGCTTCTGCTGCAACTCAATCAATGGCCGTGGTTCCTCAATCCAACCCTTCTGGTGGGTATCCTCTTGGTACATAAAATCCCATTGTCTTTTGCATGTTGAAGTTATCTTGATAACTTAGATTGTTTTAGCTTTAGGTAAATGGATCCATCAAGGTTATGATAAAGCATGTTATCCTCCATTCTCTTGCCTACTGATCATTTAAGATTTCAGCTTTGGATCTCTTTTACTTCTAAAGATATTGTTCCTTAAAAGCCTAAGAACATAGGGAGATTAAACCCAAGTATTTGCTGTGCCATTTAGTAGGGGATTACATACTAGATTAGATATGAGAGCGAAGGAAAAATAAATAATTGGATTTTTCTTTCGTCCATAAAATATAATGGCGAAAGACAAACATCATTGACAAACAGATTAAAGTCATTTTTGGATTGTTGTAATATTTGTAATGATTAATAAAAGAAGATTATGCCAGCAAATTATAAAATTTATTTAGTAGATTGATTCATTTATAATAAAATAGGCTTTTGAAAAATGTAAAGTTATTTTTATACATCATGAAAGCAGTGATAATATCTATACACACACACAGCATGTGTGCTCTGCAATAGTATTAATAATTGATGAAAATACAAAATCATAAGTTTTCCTAAATTCACCGAACTGGGTTTAATCACAAGTATCGTTTGTTTGGTATTTAGAGGCATATAACTTGTTTTGATAGTTGAAGTTCATTATTAACTTTTCTTTGTTTTTTTTTCCTTTGGATTTGGAGATACAAAAGCCAGAAAATATGAAGCGTAGTATGTTTCATTGGACTTTTTTATTCTGTTATTGGAATATAAAACCTGAGCTATTATTTTAATGATTGCAGTAATTCTGTTATCAACTTGAGTTTTTTCTAAAGATAAATTTCGTTCAAGAATTTAAAAATGCAGTGAAATTTGTCAACACCTAAATGAAGGTTGAATTCTACAATTGAATCAAAATGAAGTGTTAAAGATGGTTCTTATTAAATTTCTAAATGGAAAGAAGGGGGATTTTGGCCTGTCTTTTGTTTTTCTCTCATTTTTTCATGTTGATAGTCTTGAATAAAAATTAATAGATGACAATCAGAATAATCTTGTGTGGCTCTTTTTTGTCAGGCCCTCCTGTTTACAACGCCCGAGCTGTGATGCCTGTTTCTGTTCCCTCTAATATCAGAATGGAGTCTGCCAATCTATCCTCAGTAGGACAGTCAGTACCAAGAAAAAGAAAGAGTTCTGAGGCTTGTCCTCCAGTTCCTCCAGCTACTAGACAGACTCGAAGCAAGGTGCCAACCAAATCTGCAAGCATAGGTAGTTCGTTTTTCCTTTTCTTCAAAGCATTTCATCACCCTAATTTATGTACTCATTTTTATTAAATTCAATAGATACTCACCTGCATTTTCTTTTCTGGTAGCTGATAAAGCCTCAAACTCTTGCAATGCATTCAACGCAGCTCAGCCCTCCGTTGTCATTCAATCATTGACTAACAATTATGCAACTGATGGATCACAAGTTGAAGTATTCAGTGTCACTAAGCCCAATCAGCCTTCACTCTCTCCTGCAGCCAATGCATCTTATCCTCAGACTCCACCACAGGCAGTTTCCTCCCAGAATGACAAATCCATCTCTCCCCTGGGCGTCTCTTTGACTGCTAACTGCAGTAACAACAATACTCCTCAGGAGATCACTCCTACAAATTGTACAGTGATTTCAACAGAGAGAATTAGAGTTAGTCCTTTGAAAGGAATGGGATGCTACACCATGGAGAGGACCCATTGTATATCCTCATCACCAGCCAAGGCAAATTCAAAAAGACTGAGTAAAAGAGATCATGTGAAAGGAAGGCTAGATTTTGATGGTTCTGGTGCTATAGTGAGCTCGGACAGACCAATCACTAATGAGATTCTGAAATCAGAATCTGAGAAGGAAATGGATAATATATTTGACATGGATTTACTAAACTTAGATGCATTTGGGGAGAATTTCTCTTTCTCGGACCTGTTAACTGATTTGGATCTTGGCTGTGAAGGAATGGGCTGCCCATGCCAGCCAATTCCAGATGCTTCAGTTAACAATGTTTCAGGGTAATGTTCCTTATCTTGCATATTTAATGGCTAATGATTCTTCCACTGCCTCACAAACATTACTGCTATCCTCAATCTTATGCTTTGTTATATGTATCATTGACAGGTCATCTCCTGAGCCAAGGGATGAAAATCTAGCATCTGATCAGTTTGTGTCAGAATATTCATCAATTGTGACGAAATTGATTTCAGGCAAAGACATGAATATTGAAGGTGATATAATGAGATTTAGTCAATGATGTGGTTTGATCCAGTCCATTTACATGTACTGACCTTGTAAATTCTATTAATGCAGGCTCTGATTCTGTGACTGCAATGAAGTCCGTAACTAAATGCATTAGAATTTTAAGCCCTGGTAAATTCACCATTCTTTTCACCCTTATCCTTTTTGTGGAATTTGGTTAAGATATAATTTTTAATTATTTTTTCTCATTTGTGTTCTTAAACTGCAGCAAAAGGTCGCAAGCAGGAGAAAGTTAGACATGCAGTTGATTAATTGAAGTTTAAGATGGCAAGTAGATTGACATGGTAGTACCTTGGAGGAGATTGCTCGAGACTTTGAGCCTTAAATTTCTGAAGAAAACTGAATTGTGATAGACATTGATTTATAGCAGAGTTAAACAATGGTCTAACTATTGAAAAATAAGTATTTATTCTTCAATACAGAATTTTTTTTCATTTAGCTCCATTCTTGTTTTGTCTCATTTGTATATTCCAACGAATGTTACTGGTGGAAATTGAATAACAGAATGAACTCCAGCATATTATTCATTCAAACTCCGAAGTTTGCTTACAGCTTGGACCAGAATCACATGATGCCCCTTTATGAACCTATATCTGTTCATTCGAGATGTCAATTCGGATTAAGTAGAGTGTGCATCTTGGATTTGAATCTTGAATCAATGCAGGAACTGTAATAGCTTTTCAACTTCATCTGAGCTGCCAATAAAATTTGGTGTGCTTGGTGCATCTGGAAAAGAAGACATAAATTTAAGTGCCAGTATTCATTTTTGGTGGCTGAAAAATGCAATATTTCTACTATTTTCTGCTGTTAAATCAGAGCTCTTGAATCTTTATCATGTTCAGGGCACAATAGTCATTTTTCAAGGTTGGATAAATCAATGTCCATCAGAATTCAGTTTTTCAGACATGTTTACCAAATGCCTGAACAATTTATCAATGTCCATAAAAAACATTGAACAATTTGTTCAAGGCATTTGAATCTTTATCAAAGATAAATTGTTCAAAGGCACAATAGTCAACTCTGCATCGATGTTACTCGCTTAGTCTTGCTTAAACAACCATGTTGTCGAATTCTCAATTTCTAATTGCTTCAACATAAAATGTGGATCCAATTCATTGTTTAATTTTAACCTTTGCATAGTCATTCTACACATTATCTTTGTACCATTAATCAAATGAAAATTTCAAGAACACTTGAAAAAGAATATTTTAAAGTATATTTCCAAAGTTTCTTTTGCTCCATATTAATTTCTGCATTCAAAACTTTCTTGATAAAATGTAATCTATAAATAGATTATAATAAAACTGTAACTTGAGAAAATGATGTCAACTTGGCTGTGTAATTTATTTGTAAATTTACACTTACTTAGTTAGAATAAAAAAAAATCAGTATATATGAAATTGCATGTAGGATTAGAGCAATGCGTTCTAAACTACATTTTATAAAATTTAGAATTTACTGTTTTATTTCCGTATTAGATTAATATACATAATTTTAATCATCTTAAATATTTTTAAAATCATTTTTTGTTTATAACATATCTACATTTGTAAATGAATTTTAGATACATTTTGCATTTGGTTCGTAATATTAATTATTTCGATGATATTCTTTGTTGTACGTATATTTCGAGAGCGAAAAATAATTTCTTCTTAAAATATTAAGAGTAAAGGTCCTAAATAATAATTTTATTATTTAAATTAATAAGATCAGTAAAACGTAATAAAATAAGTCAAACGTACATAAGATAATGAATATGTTGATGATTGCTTATTTTTAGCTAGGTGACAAAGATGGTTAAGTTGTTTGTCATAACTTCACACACTGCCTTTTTTACTTCCCAATAGCTATTAAGAATTAGGTCATAAGAACATTGTGATGGGTGGTTGGTTGAGTAGGCTTGTTCCAAACTTATGTTATAAATGTCAGTTATGATAAAGAGCAACTTCCTTAAATATTGTTATTTGCTTATTTTTAGAATTGATTTTCTTTGTAAGATCTAAATAGTGTTTGACGACCATTTTGAGATCAAAGTCGCATTGGGCCGAAAATTGTAGTACTAAAAATATAGGCAAATGTCACTTGCAGAGACCTTGTCCAGTGAATAATGGACTATTGTAATACTCGAAATTAATTTTAATATACTTAAAATTAATGTATAAATATAATTTTTAAATTTTTATTTAATGTAAAAATGAAGAAAAATAGGTGGATGATGAAATTGAAAATAATTTTAAAAAAAAATGGGTGAAAATTTGAATTATAGGAGTGTTTTTGAAAGAAAAATCGAAAACCGAGGGTCAAAATATAATTTTAAAAAAATATGTCACCTATGATGCCCAGTCAGCAGTCCCGACGAACTGGAGCGCGCTGCATAGCAAGGCACGCTGGTGTGGTGCTATGCGGAAAACCATGCTGGCAATCTACGTGACCGCGATCGGATGGTTCAGATTTGTTTCCGCGGGTGTGGATGGTCCTGATCTGTTCCCCCTTTAAACGTGATCATACAGTCTAGATTCACTTCCTATTTAAACACGATCGGATGACTTAGATTAAATCACGATAAATAGTATAGATTAACTTCTTATTTAAATGCGATCGGACGGTTCAGATCAAATGCGATGAACGGCTCAGATTAAAAGAAAACGAATATAAATACCTCACTTCACACCAAATCCTAACCCTAGCCGCCATACTCCCCCGCTGGAGAAGAAGAATCAGTCGCCGAAAAGGGTTCTAACACCGATTTTGGATTTTTTTTTTGGTATTTGTAGGTACTTGGAGCGTGTTTTAATCCCTGAAGAAAAATTCAAGAAACTTGGAGATTGTCAGTAGACGTAGCAAAAAAAAAAAAGGTGGAAGATGAAATTAAAAATAATTTTGAAAAAAAGAAGTGAAAATTTGGATTCTTAGGGTATTTTTGAAAGAAAAATCAGAAATTAGAGGTCAAAACGTAATTTAAAAAAATATTTGTAAGAGGCCCAGTCAGCAGCTCTGACGAACCGGAGCATGCCGCATGACAAGGCACGCTGGTGCGGTGCCACGCGGAAGGCCACACTGGCAATCCGCATGACCGCGATCGGATGATCCAGATTTGTTCCCGTGCGTGTGGACGGTCCGGATCCTTTCCTCCTTTAAACACGATCGTATGATCCAGATCAAATTGCGATGAACGGTCCAGATTCACTTCATATTTAAACGCGATCGGACGGTCCATATCAAATCGCGATGAGCGGTCTAGATTCACTTCTTATTTAAATACAATCGGACGGTTCAGATCAAACGTGATGGACGTTTCATATTAAAAGGAGACAGATATAAATACCACATTTCACACCAAATCTCTGGAGAAGAAAAACCAGTCATCGGGAAGGGAGTCGACCGCCACCCGCAGCCGTACCAGAGTCACCTACGACCGTCAAAAGAGGTCAACAAATTTTCATTCGTTCGAAATTCGATTTTGAACACCCCTATGGCAAAATTGGAATAAAAAGACTGGCGGATAAGTCAAAAACTGCGGGTAAAAATTAAAGTTTAGTGTTCGGATATCGATTCGAGTAAAAATCCCTCACCATATTCTTTGTTATGGAATTGAAGTTTAATTATAAATAATATGGTATTTTGTACAATTTAAAAAATCTCGATAATTAATCACAGGTTACTAATGGAGTCAGAACCGGTTATTATTCATTGTTTATCATGTTTGATCGATTTTATAGTTTTTAATACATGATAATACGCTGGAGTTGGTAAGATGATTTAGTTGTATTTTCTTGATGAATGTATTGCTTGTTTTGCGTGATTTACAGTTAAATGGTGAAATTAGAACTTGAATTTAAATAGAAAATTGTTTGATTAAGTGAATAAATGAATGGTAGCCTTATTGGATATTCTGAGAGATGATGAACGGACCAAGTACATAGGGAACTCTACCGTGAACGTTGCCTCATAACGGACGGAGTATGGAGGATTGATACTTTTGCACTCATACCGGACGAGGTATAGAGACGACTGGTTAATTGAAAATGTTGAATAAATGTTCACGCATAATGGAGATATCCCTACGAACCCTCATGGATATTAGTAGGCAGATAAAAAGAAAAGATTTTTGTTTAGATTAATTGTACATGAGATTATAAAATTGTTTATACCATTACTTCTGTAGGTCAGTTTTGCAAATTTCACTACGATAAACGTACAATAAATAATTTTACTTATGATAAATGAATTTACTTAAAATAAGAGCTCTATTAGTTGTTTTCATGATTTTTACCGACTTTCATTTCTGTATCGGTGAGTAATATGATATTCTTACTAGGGTAGTGTAGCTCACTCTTTCATTAATCATTTTAACTCAAGAGGATCAAGATTCAGATTCCGATCCATAAGAAGGTTGCGAATAGGATATTCAATTTGTTTATTTTTCATTTATTTCTTTGATTATTAGTTGTTCTTTTAAAAATGCTATTCTAGTAGTCCTATTGGGTATTCTAAATTATTATGTAAGAAATGTAAACCCTAACGATATTATTTTACTTCCGCACTTAATTTATTTACTTCATTTCAAGTTTCGGACCCTTACAACTATACTATACATAAAGTAGTTGTGGAAGCTACGAGAGGAAAGTATATCAGGTCTACTGGATCGAAGCATATATTGGCTGTTAAGTACTAAAGATCATCTAAAAGTTGAAGGTGTGGATTTTTTGTTGGTCTCATACACGTTCCTTGTATTTTAGGTGAGTAACAAGTAAGAGTTGAAGTTTACTTATGTCATTAAAAGAGAATTTTTTTTATTGTCCACTCATTATTGGTAAAAGTATACTCATTACAATAAATGTATACTTTACACTAGAGTTTGATCTCATTGGGACAATATTAGAAATTTATATTTTTCGCATTTAATGTAAACAATTTCTTTCAAATTGATTATTTACTTTTAGGGTTTTTATTTAATACGAGTAGGTATGAGATGATAATAGTTAGTTGAAGTAGATTAAACTAAATATAATATATTTTATCATATATTTAGAATGACAGATAACTAAAAAATTTATTACCGTTTTTGAAATATTGATAATGATTATGGAGATGATAGAAATGAAGGGTAGAGGATAGTAGCTTCAACATCGATTAGGGTGAGCTAATGAGAGTTGTAAGGCAATGGCAAGGCAATAAAAATTTTCATGCAAATAAGAAAAGCAATGTTCTCTTCCTTCTCAATTGCAATTGAGACATTTTATCTCAATAAAAAATATTAACTAATTAAGCTTTTCTCTTTTCCATCACAATACCATTCAAGCCAAATACTTCTCTAATTTCTCCACCTCCTCCTGGCTTCCAATATACAGAGGAACACGTTGATGAATCTGTAGCAGACCAAAAACAGTTCATAAGTTCACCAAATTCAACACAAAAAAACTTCCAAATCATTCATTTGATTAATTAAACTCACCTCAACAGGTGTAATGTCAAGTATTCTCTGATGTCCATCAGACCCTTTTCCTCCAGCTTGCTCCACTATAAAGCTCATGGGTGCACATTCGTACAAGAGCCTCAGCTTCCCATTTTTGCTTTTCTTATCTCTTGGGTAGCCATAGATGCCGCCGTACAGCAAAGTCCGATGGAAGTCACCGACCAGGCTACCGATGTAACGAGCCGAGTAGGGCTTGCCACTAGGACCTGGGTCCTTAAGATCATCGATGTACTTCTTTAATTTATCATCCCACAATTGGTAATTCCCTTCATTAAATGCATAAATTTTTCCTGCTTTTGGTATCTGGATATTTTCTTGGGTCAAAACGAATTCTCCATACATGGGATCTAGAGTAAAAGCAAACACTCCTTGTCCTAATGTAAGCACAAAGATGACAGAGCTTGAGTACATGCAATACCCAGCAGCTAGTAGGTTGCTTCCTGGCTGGCATACGCTCACTACGCACCTCTGTTCCGTTTGGCCCAGCTGCGTTCATGTCTCATATATATCAAACTCTTATGTTATGGGTTTCTTATATATATGTATATATATATATGTTGTGGAAAGGAGTTTACAGTAGAGTCATCACTGATATCGGCGAGGCACTCGTCATTGGGACTGTATATGCCGAAGATGGATCCAGTTGAGACTGCAGCATCGATGTTGGATGATCCATCAAGTGGGTCAAACACTACAATATAGTTCCCGGAATAGCTCTCTTCTACTGCAACTGGTACGTCTTCTTCCTCTGATGCTATAATCCCTGTTCTTCCACTTGATCTCAGGCAGTTTGAGAATACCTGAAAATACAAAAAAGTCACTCTCTTTTACTATTGAGTTAAGTTGTGGCGAGCAAAGTTAAGTTCTGACGAGATTTACATCTTCAACAAGGTTCTCTTTTGTTTACACTCCCTTTTACTATTGAGTTAAGTTATGGCGAGTTAAATTAAATTGTGACGAGCTTTACGTCTTTATTGAGGTTCAAACATGTAATTTTCAAATAGAATACAGAAGTTTTAATTACCAAACCACCGTCTATTGTTGGTAATAAAGTTAATCCGAATTACTATCTATTCACATAAGCCAAATAATTTTATTTCCTTCCCTTCTCTCTTCTTCATTTTCCATCTCAAGAAACAGACTTAAGGAAACTTAAGCTTGGCCTACTATTTCTATTACTGATTGGTTGGATGATAATTATCCTGAGTTTGTTCGTATTGGGTATATGTTGCTTGTTAGTGGAAGTGAGAGTAATAATGACTAACCTCATTGGAAACAACATCAAGCTTCTTCTGATCCTCTCCTTGAACATTGACAGCTCCTTGAACACCAGTCAAGTTAGAGATGCCAGCCCTTTGAACCAAAGAAGCAATCTGCTTGCACGCCATTGAAATGCTTGAAATCACAATGGTTAATTCTGCATCAATCACCCCCGCCTGCTCCTGCTTCAACAACCAATTCGTGAGCGTCTGAATCTCAAACTTACTCTTCTTCTTGGTCTCGGTCTCAGATGCCGTCTCAAGAGCCATGCACTGTACACTCCCACCAACATGTCTTCTCTTGATGGGACAAGAAACCAGAGCTTTGGAGTGAAATAGTCGGAGTTGAAAGGGAGAGAGGCGCGAGAGCGAGCGGGAACTTGAGATGAGGAGGAGATTCGATGATGAAGATGATGCGGTTGCTGCTGCTGTAGCAGCCATGGTTGTTTCCTTTTTAATTTAATTTGTTTTTGAAAAAAGATTTGTTGATTATAATTTGTTCTGGTTTTTTATTTATTGTTTGGATTGTGTTGTGTAGAGTGAAGGAGGGAATGTGAGGTTCGCGACGATTTCTGTTTTAATGGGCCCCACTTATCTTTCTCAGAGAATCCATTTCCTAACCATGCTTGCTTGCTTGCTGGCTATCCGGCTTCAAATGGGCTGGGCTGGGCTTATCTGACCACGGTCGTAAACACTTATTAAAAGGTTGTTTCTTAATTTTTCTTCTAAAATTAGAATTATTGATGATAACTCAATTTTGAAAATATTAATGGGAACAAGAGAAAAAGGATTAGTGGGGTCCAGCTTGTCGTGCGGGTGTGCGTGTGGGTCTAGATATATGTCCCGTGTGTATGTATATATGTATAAATGCGAATACTTATTTTTATTTTTCTAAAAATGATAATATTATCATTCATTAATAACCCATTACAATCATCTCAAGGGCGAAGGCCTCCGAGACATGGAAGTCTGAATAGGAACGAGCCTCCCTCGTAAGTCTGTGTGCATGTACATTGGAATTCCTATTGACCAGACTAATAGATATATCAGGTATATTGGTTAAAAGATCCCGACAATTTGCTGTGATGAAAGTATTCGGAGCAGTCTTCCTCACTAGCCCCTAATGCTCGTACAACTTTTTAGGCATCAATTTCAAAAATATTAGGACCCTTGCAGTTTACACAAATGAATTGGAGCACAGAGTGACACCCCAATAGTTTCGTCAAATAGGCAGAACGACATCTCGGGATCCGTCTTGAGAAAGCCTTAATGATGATACCTTCAGAATTTTGAATAATCCCTAAAAAACTGCCCTATGCAAGATCACTGAAAACGGCTCCATCCATATTACATTTCCAAATACTAGAGGGAAGGGGCCGCTAATGGGTGTGTGCGGTCATCGTGCCTTGACCCAGGGCCAGTCCACCATTTCTCATATCATGTGCCTATTTCCACTTCTGAAGGTATTTGCGTGACAAACTAACCATTGTATGATCTGCAAAAATTCTTCTGGACCACTAAGCCTCGTTTCACTCATACCATAGATGCCACGACATATAGACTCTTCACCATAACTTGCCGATTGGGAAGTAAGCAAAAATTCCATCCAATCCCGTATATTATCCGAAACTGTTTGTAATTGAGCCTGCCCCAGTGCCTACCAATAGCCCTTGGCCTTAACACAGTGAAACAATACATGACTCGGGGTCTTCACTTGCCTACAACGACAACAATCGACTGGAAGATCAATGTCTTTCGTTTGTAGCCTAGATTTCACTGGGAGAATATCATTCATGAGATGCCATGTAAAGTTTCTCACTTTCGGGGGTAGTTATAAGCTCCATGTTATATTCTAAGCTCTCCTTGTTTCTTACCCCGGAGGTGTATAAGTTCCCATAAAAATCTGATACGCAAATTTAATTAAGAATTTCCCATTCTCTGTAAGACTCCATATGACCTTATCTTCCCTACAGTTAACATCCAATGGTATACTTAATATAATGTCAGCCTCTTCATCCAATAAACCGTTAACAAGCTCCTCATTCCATCCCTGACCATTCTCATGTAGGGGCCCATTAATTGTTAAATCCTCCCATCCTTTTAAACATGGACTATGTACATAAAAATCATTTTTACCCGGTAACCAGGGATCATCCCATATCTTCACTCTGTTTCCTGTACCTATAATCCACCACAAGTCATTTTGCACCACATCGATTGCGGCAAACAAACTCTGTTATGTGAAACTTAGTCTAGATCCTAGTTCCTTATGTATGAGATCACATTGCAGAAAATAATTGGCCTTAAGAACTTGGGAAACCAAAGCACCTCTAGATGTTGGTAAATCTGCCAGCATTGCTTGGCAAGTAGAGCTAGGTTGAACTCATATAACTGCTTAAAGCCCATTCCCCCCTCGACCTTACTTCTGCATAATGCATCCCATGACATCTACTGAACAGGTCCTACCACCATTTGCTTTCTTCCCTCACCAGAAACTATTCATCATTTATTGGAGCTTGTTACAAAACAAAACAGGGATATGAAATATTTCCATACAAAAAGTCGACAGTGCTTATGCGATCGAGCGAAGCAAAACTTCCTTACCTGCCCTAGAGAGAAACTTATTACCCCACCCATTCAAACGAGCACTAAGAGTGGTTTTAAATAAACCAAATATGCTTCTCTTACTCCATCCCACCAAAGAAGGAAGATCCAGGTACTTACCATGATCCATACATTTATGCACCCCAAACATTGTGTTCAGGATGTTGCGGAGGTATTGACGAGTATCCGAACTATAGAAAGTGGCAAACTTTAGATAGTTTACAGCTTGCCCCAAGGCCGAAAGACAGGAGATCTATCACAACCATGCATTCCTTAATACTTTCCCTGAAGAAAAACATGGAATCATGATAGATGCCCAAAAAACACAAGAAGGATTGCAAACAAAAACTTCTATTTTTGGGATAGAAAACCACAATTTTCTTGTTAATTAATACTTGCCTCATCCATAGTCTGATGGAGCATTAAATAGGAAGGGAAACAACAACTTCTCCCTGCTATACAGGGAGCACAACGACTAGTAGCAACCAAATAATCTCAATAACTCAAAAGATAAGATAATCCTGAAAATAAATTAAAAAAACAGAAGATAAATTGATGCTGAATAGTTGACCAGGTCTTGATGAAGTTCTTCTTGCTTCAACGATACCAGAATTAGAGATACTTGGGATTCTTGACTAGGATCCTTGTTGATCTTCTGGTTGTATCATTGCTTCCCTCTTTTGCATGAACCTTATCCTCAAGGTTCAAGTGGCCGAATTTATTTGTTAGTTCGGTTCTATTTTTCCAGATAGCTTCTTCTGGGGGTAAACATTTCTATTAGACAAGACTTTTTTCAACAAATTTTGCTCCCCTTTTGACCATCGGGGTTCTAAAATGGTTTGGGGTTGTAGTAGTAGGTCCCCATCTTCAGATATTTCAGGTAGATTTTCAATAGGGGTAATTGCTTTGCCAATATATTTTTTTAACATGGAGACGTAAAAAACGGGATGGATACGCGACCCTTGTGGAAGTAGAAGCTTGTAAGCAACGGGGCCAATACAACGAAGGATCTAATAAGGCCCATAGTATCGACATACGAGCTTTTGGAAGGCTCTCTTGAAAATCATTTGCTGCTGATATGGTCGGAGCTTAAAAAAGACCCAATCGCTCTCCTAAAATTCGACTTCACGCCGATGGGCATTGGCGGTGGCTTGCATTCGACTGTTGGCTGCTTGTAAATTAGTTCAAAGTTGTTTGAAGAGGGCATCTCAGTTACAAAGCTGTTGGTCAACTTTATTGACAAGGGTTGAGCCGTCTTGGTAACGTGGAATGGGCGGCAACGGTCTCCCATATAAGGCCTGAAAAGGCATCATCTTGATAGAGGAGTAATAGGTTGTGTCATACCAAATTCGGCCCAAAGAAGGAGAGAACTCCACTTGTATGGTTGTTGGTTGCTTAAGCATCATAGATATTGTTTCACACTGCAGTTCATAACTTCTGACTATCCATCTGTTTGCAGATGGTAGGAGGAGATCATTCGGAGCTGGGTGCCAGACAACTTAAAAAACTCTTGTCAGAAGCGGCTAGTAAAGTCTGGATTCCTGTCACTAATTATGGAGCGAGGCATACCATGTAATTTTACCACATTGTCCATAAATTTTTCTACCACGGTCTTAACGGTGTAAGGGTTAGCTAAAACAATAAAGTGCGCACTCTTGCTAAGACGATCAACCATAACAAAGATAGTATTCTTTCCATTTGAGATAGGTAGTCCTTCAATAAAATCCATGGAAATATCATCCCATATTTGGTAAGGGATTGACAACAGTTGGAGAAGGCCGACTGGTGAGAGTGTCTCGGTTTGACTCGTTGGCAGGTGTCACATACTACTACATATTTTTTAATATCTTGGTATATGGCTGGCCAATAAAATTATTGGGCCAATCTTTTGTAAGTTCATTGGAAACCTGAGTGGCCACCTGTCAAAGATGAGTGGAATTCCTACAATAATTATTGTGTAATTTCTGATTTAGGAGGGACAACAATTCGATGCTTAAAATAAATTAACCCGTTCTTGAGTGAAAAGGAACCACCTACTGAGTCAGTGGCTAACTTGCGAGCTGTTTACAAGAATGATCTGCAGCTTCTCAAATGGTGTTCGACAAATTATTTTTGGGTATAGAGATAGTGTGTAGAGTGGGGCTATCTTCCCTAAGAGATAGAGCATCGGCGGTCGAGTTTGTTTTTCCTGGTTTGTACACGATCTCATATTCATAGCCAAATAACTTAGAGAGCCACTTTTGCTATTCTGGAGTTGTAATTTGTTGGTCTAGCAAATACTTTAAAATTTTCTGATCTGTGTGCACATAGAACTTTCTGCCCATCAAATACAGACTCCATAATTTTATGGCAATAACAATGGCAAACATCTCTTTGGCGTATATCGACCATGATTGCTTGACAACGCCTAATGCTCGACTCATATAAGCTATAAGCTGCCCATGCTGAGTGAGGACGACCCCAATGCCGCAGCCAGAAGCATTAGTTTCTATGATAAATGGCTCTTCAAAATTCAGGAGTGCCAAGGTAGGAGTTGTGGTCATAGCAACCTTGAGGTTTTGAAAAGCTGATTCTGCTTCCTTGAACCACCCAAATTGTCCATTTTTTCGGAGATTAGTCAAGGGCCAAGCAAGAATTCCGTACTGCCGAACAAAATTCCGGTAATAGCCTGTCAAACCTAAAAATCCTTTTAGTTCAATGATGTTGTTTGGTTGAGGCCAATCTAATATGGCCTTAATTTTGGTTTGATCCACTTTGACCCCTTGTGATGTGACTATGTGCCCCAAGTATTCAAGTTTCTTTTACCTAAAGACACATTTTTCACCTTGATGAAAAATTAATGTTATCGAAGGATGTCAAAAACCTCCTTAACCTACTCAAGATGCAATTCCCAGCTGAGACTGTATATTAAGATGTCATAAAAAAAAATTAGAACAAACTTACTGAGATGTTGACGGAAGATGTTGTTAATGACTGTTTGAAAGGTGGAAGGGGCATTACAAAGCACAACTGGCATGACGAGATATTCATAATAACCGTTATAAGTGCGAAAGGCCATCTTGTGCATATCCGATGGATGTACTCTTACTTGGTGGTAACCCACGATGAGATCGAGTTTAATAAAGAAAGCAGCTCCATGGAGTTCATCTAGCATGTCATCAACGTTAGGGATGAGAAACCTGTCTTTGATGGTGACTGAATTGTGGGCTCGGTAGTATGTACAAAACCTCCAAGTTTCATCTTTGTTGTGTACGCAATAGCACCGGTGAGGAGAACGGACTGGTGCTTGGCTGAATTAGC